GGGTGGTTCTGAAACGTTTGTAGGAAGACAGCATGCCACAGGACACAGCTGGCCCTAACCACCAAGGGAGTCATGAGGATCCTCCCTCCTCCCAGTCCCCCGCCACTTTTGGCCACACTTTTTTCTCTAACTCAGCATTGTCCAGTAGAATTTTCTGGAATGATGGAGATGTTTTATATCTTAGATGTCACGTGTGACTATTGAGCTCTTGAAATGGGTCTAGTGTGACAGAGGAACTGATTTTCAATTTTATTTAAGTTTAATTAATTTGAATTAAAATTTACATGGCCACATGTGCTTATGGCTACAGTACTGGCCAACGCATTACAGCAGAAATGAGCAAGGTCTGATGAGCAGGGAACAGCGAGGTGAAAGGGCTAGGGGTAGCGGGGAGTCAAAGGAGGAGGCAGAGTCCAGGAGAGTGAGTCTGAGGTCATAAGCACAACGTGAGCAGCAGACAGCCTGGCACACCAACTCTGGCCACTTGGAGGCACAGAAGTGCTGGAGCTGTGTGGGGTTTTTGGAACGCTGACAAGGGGAGAGCTGGAAAGGGGGAAGGGCTCAGGGCAAGGCCACCTAGCAAGAAGCATGAGGTCTTTTCCCCCTCATTGGTAGTAAATGCAGAGTTGGGAAACCTGGATCATGCAATGGGCCCCTGGCCCTGGGTGGGGATTCCTGGACAGGACAGGGTATGATGATCTACAGCCACCTTGGCCTTTACCAGAAGACAATAAGCTGTGGTTTCACATTCCTCCACCCCTACTCAACAGAAGACAGAGGGGGCCTGTGAGTCGGAGCATCTGGCCAATATCCAGATCTTTCCCTTATGGCTGGACAGAGCTGCCACCTCCTTAGGAATCAGTTCAGGAAACAAGGGCATATTTGCCAGAATTTACCCATCACCCATGCTGGGTAGTTTTTCGTTTCACAAATGATTCCTATACTTGGCTGTGGACCTGCTGGCAGCCGCCCTCACCCATCTGGACACTTCTGAGGGCAGAGCCCAGTGCCAGGTCCTGAGAGGGGGCCAAAGAGGAAAGGGGTCCTGTCCCCTAGGGAGTCTGTGAGCTGAAGGGAATGCAGAGTCTTGCCCTTGGGAGTCCCTGTCTGAGGGACAGACAAGATTGTCACTCTTGGGAAGCCCTCGGCCTGGGGAGGAGGTATAGCCCCACTATTGTGAGCTGAGACAAAAGGGATAATCAGGGAGTCCCAGCCTGAGGGGGACCCAGGCCTCCATGACTCTTGTCTGAGAAGACCTGTGGTCCTATCCTAAGGATTAACTAGCCTCAGGATAACACAGCCTGAGACTGAAGGCGGGGTTGGCGAGCTGTCTCCCAGCCTGGTGTTGGTGGGGGGTGCATCTCAGAGGATGCCAGGTAGGGGTGCCATTGGGCCAACTTCCTGGAGAGGCTGACTCTGAGAAAAATGTGACAGGGGCCTGGGGCAGTGGGAGATTTTATTGGTAAGGAGAGGGGGCAAGAGTTCCCCAGCTTTCCTGTGTGCGTATGTATCTGCTGGGGGACAGCTGGGCTAAGGTCATTGCAGAGTAAGGAGACCCAACCCTGATCTCACTCGCTAAAATGCCCTGGGAGTGCAGGACTTCTGTCTCTGAATGTACATCTGACTCCAATGCATTGCTGCCCAGCACAGTTGTGGTTACTTTCCCAATTTTGGCACAAGAAAACTGAGGTTCAGGTATGACTTGCCAGAAGTAAAAGTTGAGCCATCTGTGCTGCCATGGCCATGCTGCTGCACCACCCTTGCTTAGCTGCTTTGCAGAGTTGGAAGTCCACTGGAGCCCACTGGAGGGATGGGCTGTCTGCTCAGGTAGTTTGTGTATGTGTGCTATGTGTCAGGCGTTGCATGCACACTTACTGCTGCTGCAGTCCTCATAGCTCTCCAGGTACACCTCAATGACCCCATTTTATGGCAAAGTGAGGAAAAGGAAGGTTAACATGCCCAAGAACAAAAACTAACAAATGAGCAAGTTGGAATGTCTTACCTTGGATTGCTTCCCTCTTCTTCGTGGAGGATTCACATGGGCATGTGACCTACATGTCCACTTACCAGTGTGGCATAGTGAGATTCTTGCAGTGGTTGGACTTAGGACCCTTTACCTATCCCCCTCACTAGCAGTACAATTTGAGATTCTTTTTTTTTTTTTTTTTGACACAGAGTCTCACTCTTTTGCTCGGGCTAGAGTGAGTGCCGTGGCGTCAGCCTAGCTCACAGCAACCTCACACTCCTGGGCTCAAGCAATCCTACTGCCTCAGCCTCCCGAGTAGCTGGGACTACAGGCATGCACCACCATGCCTGGCTAATTTTTTCTATATATTTTTAGTTGTCTGGTTAATTTCTTTCTATTTTTAGTAGAGACGGGGTCATGCTCTTGCTCAGGCTGGTTTTGAACTCCTGAGCTCAAACAATCCACCCGCCTTGGCCTCCCAGAGTGCTAGGATTACTGGCGTGAGCCACCGCGCCCAGCCCAATTTGAGATTCTGTAATAAAATATTTCACTTAAAACTTAGAGTCCCACCATTAGAGCCTCATTTGTTTTGGGTTGGTCCTATAAAAATGCAAATGAAGGACCCGTGCGGATCATCTTGTGTAAGACCCTCATTTTACAGGATTCTGAGTCCCTCATGACCTGAATCACCCCAGTTTTTTTATCTCCTGGGCACCGTGTTTACTTCTGAAGTATTAACCCAACAGGTCACATTAGTAACAACAAAAACAACAACTCACATGTACTGACCACTTGGGCTCTGGCTGGTTTCACATGGGAGGAGTGTCTCGCACTGGCCGAGGTAAATGTCCCCTTGGGGCAGTGGGGAAGGGGCTCTGAGTGTGCTGGATCTAACCTAGAGGAACACAGGACTGGGCAGGTCTTATGCCCCAATCTAAGGACTAACACTGACGTCTGCTTCTCTCCCAGTTTGGCTTCCTGGAGATCCCGAAGCCAGTAGGAAAGGAGCCAGGAGAGCCCTGAGAGGCCTGATGTCCCTGGGTGGCCCTTTCCCCAATTGCTAGAATGTGCAAGCCCTGCTTGACCAAGAGGCCACTGGAGTAACACCTGGACTGTGAAACTGGATTGCACAGAAGCCCACTTCTCCTTCCTTCTCCCAAGGCCAAGTGTGCAGCCAGCAGCCTTCATCTAGGCTGCCACCTTCCAAGGAGCACTGTTCAAGTCCCAAGTGACCTACAGGCCAGCTGAGGCCAAGAAGTACTCCAGGCCTCATGGCCACACGGCCAGTCCACAGAGGAGCTGGGACCAGAATTTGCCTCATGGCCTCTGGACCCCTCTGTCCCATTGGTCCATTTTCTCTCCCAGCTGTGCTCTCCCTCTCCCAGCACCAGCCACCCCAGCTTGGTGTCTCAGCTGGAGCACTGGACAGGGAGTCACTTGCGGTCAAAGCAGGGGAGAATTCCTGGAGGCTCTGGGAGCAAAGAGGAGGAGATTGCCTGTCTGGTTGGAGGTCAGGGAAAGCTTCACAGGGGAAAGGGTGTGCTAAATGGAGGGATCAGGTGCAGAGTTGGGAGAAAGAGCAGGAGGCTCAGATGAGCCTAAGTGACTGGGGCATAGGTGGGGGCCTGGCGCTTGGGGTGTGCAGGGCTGTGTGAGGGCAACGGGGAGCAACAAGGCTGCAGGCCCTGATGCCAGGCCAGGGGTGTGTGGGCTTCTGAAGGCAGAGGGGTGAAATGGCCAAACCGGTGGTTTGAAGGAGTCCTGGACAATGGTGTGGATGTTGGACCATGGCTTGGGGGAGCCTGAAACCTAGAGAAGGTAGAGTCTGGAGGTTGGGGCAGCACTCCATGGGAGAGAAGATGGTGGCAGGAACCAGGGCAAGGGTAGAGGAGGAGGTCAAGGGGAGAGTCCTCAGGAGGAGGAAGGAGCAGGTGGGGTGCTCCCCAGGCTTTCAGCTCAGGCTCAGCAGAGGCACTCAGCAGAGCAGCAGGTGAGGGGCCTGGTACGGACAACCGGGGGTGTTCATGAGAGTCTTGAACTCAGAGATACAGACCAGGTGGTGCCTGTCCATTATGAAAGGTGTCCTGGGAGGGGATGTCTCCAGGGAGACCTGAGGATTAGGAAGAGAAGCAACCCAGGAGGCACCTCCACAAGCCCTCTACATTAAGAGGTCAGCCCTTGGGGGAGACCAAGAAGGAGCCACCAGGGAGGTAGAAGGGAAAGCAGGAGAGTGGCATCAGGGGAGACTGGGGCAGGAAGGAAAGGGTCACCAGTATCTGTGTCAATAAAGATAGGCCTGAGGTGGCCACTGGACCCAGGGAGGGCTGTCGAGCCTGCAGTGGCCTTGAGCGTGAAGGAAGTGAGAAAGTGTAGATGGCCTTTCCTCAGACTTGGCTGGGGAGAAGCCAGGGCAGAAGGCCACATCTGGAGGGGATGGGGCCATTTCTAAACGGAGAAAGACAGCGGAGAAAGACCCAGAAGAGGAGGATAGATGGAACAGAGCCCCTGAACTAGCTGAGGGCTGGGTCCAGAGAATGGGGTGGTATGGCCTTGGCTGAAGGGGCAACATCTCCCTTGGCTGGGTGAGTCTCTAGGTAGGGGGTGGCTACTGTTATTCATTCATCAGATGTTAACTGAGTGCCCACAGAGTGACAGGCAGTGCCTGGAGCTGGGGATTTAGCAGTGAACACTAAGTCCATCACCCTGATTCTTGAGCAGCAGAAGGATGTAAGATATACACCTGGCTCTCTTCCTCTCTTGTAGGACTCAACCCTCTTGAGCAACTCTGGCTATGACAATCCCCTGTGGGGTCTGGGAGGTATGTCAGGGAGATGGAGAAACCATTTCCTCACCTTGCACACAGGCAGACCTCACTCACTGCCCAGCAAGTCCTGTGAAGCAACAGCAGGGCTGAGGCAAGCCCCGGCTTACACCCTGGCAGGCAGCCAGCCATGGGCTGGGTCAGGAAGGCCCCCGGCTGGGCCTTTGCATCAGGCTCCAGCTGGGCATAAAGGAGGCTCCTGAGGGCTGCGAAGAGACAGACTTGGGGACCATGGAGACCCGCAAGGATGGCTCTTCCCTGGGGCGATGGTCACTGGTGCTGCTGCTGCTGGGCCTGGTGATGCCTCTGGCCACCGCCCAGTACCTCAGCTACCAGGAGGCCGTGCTTCGTGCAGTGGATGGCCTCAACCAGCGATCCTCAGATGCCAACCTCTACCGCCTCCTGGACCTGGACCCGCAGTCCGGGAGGGTGAGCTGGGGGGTGGGCTGCTCTGGCCAGGCTCGGCCACATTGTGACTCCCTTTGCTCCTATTGCAAAGGAAGGCAACTGCCCATTTACGTGTGGTCCCACATTTTCCAGGGAGCTTTCCCAGAGCTGTGTCCCCTCCCAGCATAAGAGCTTCCTCCTTAGAATTCCCTGCTGTGACAGAAGTGCCCCCACTCCCAGCCCAGGCAGGCTGCAGGGACTTCCGGGAGTTCCAGGGACCAAGGTGGGGTCATTGGCTCTAGGGAGTGACTTCCCTTGCTTTAAGTCTTTTCTGTACCCTGTTGCTGCACAACAGGGAAGGGCTCTGCCCAGACCTGAGGTTCCAGTGGACATGTCTTGTCCTCCAGGAAGCCCCCTGATTTCCCTCACTCCCACCCTGAGTGGGAGGTGCTCCTCACTAGAGCTCGTCTGAAGTCCGCTCCTACTCACTTCATGTTTGGGGAGGGCAGGAATGGGCTCCATCCTCCTCCCCTCTGTACCCCAGCACCAAGCCCAATGCCCAGCACACAGTAGGTGCTGTTGAAAGCCTGCTTCCTTGGTGGAGGTTCGGAGAGACAAATCAGAGAAGGCAAGAATGGGCCTGAGCCTGGTCTCCCCTTTTCTCCCCGATTAGGATGGGGAGCCAGACATCCCAAAGCCTGTGCGCTTCACGGTGAAGGAGACAGTGTGCCCCAGAACAACACAGCGGCCACCAGAGCAGTGTGACTTCAAGGAGAATGGGGTGAGGCTGGGGTCTGGGGATGCTAGTGGGTGCCTCCCAGGGGAGCTGAACAAGGGGTCCCTGGGGTACATACCAGCCAATGGGGTGGGGCTGGGAGGTTATGGCAAATGGGTTCAGTTTGACCTCAAGCTTCCCCTTCCCAGCTGGTGAAGCAGTGTGTGGGGACAGTCACCCTGGACCAGGTCAGGGGCTTCTTCGATATCAGGTGTAATGAGGTGAGTGGGCTGTTCTGGGATGCAGGGCAGATAGGAGCGTGGAGTGTGGATCATCCTAAGGACCAACTACCACCCCATCCAGGGCAGAGAAAGCCCCTTCTACCTTGGGCTCTTCCTTCAACCTGAACCCCATCTCCAGGCCTGGCTCCGGAATCCCTTAGAGCAGTGGTTCTCAAAGTGTGGTCCTTACCTGGGAACTTGTTGAAATGCAAATTCTCAGGCCCCGCTAAAACCTACTGAATCCGACACTGGGTGGGGCCCAACAATTTGTATCTTGATGAGTTCTCCAGGGAATTCTGACCCCTACTAAAGTTTGAGAGTCACTGACTTACCATTATGAGCTCTTAGCCCTGTATTCCCAACTCGGCTTTGCTGGGGTGGGACGTGTGACCCTGGGGAACCCCTTGCCACCTCTGGGCCTCAGTTTTCTCATCTTTTTATGGGTGTAGGGATTCAACCACATGCTTCAAAGGTCACAGCCAGAGGGTGAAACGGGGCCTCAAGGCTCCTGGGGTGGGCTAGGAAGGGGGTCCAGGTGGGGAGGGATCTTGGATTGACTCTGGGTACAGCTCCCACAAGGAATATGTTTCTTCCTGGTACACAGCTGCAGGAGACCAAGAGAGCTGCCGGGCTGGGTGGATTCATCCAGAGAAAGCTTGAGAAAATTGGCGAGAGAATCAGGGAATTTTTTCAGAATCTTATACCCAGGCCAGAGTCTTAGTGTCTGCCCTACCATGACTCAGGCTTCTGGACTCTGAAAAATAAACTCATTGGAAGTGAAAGCAACTTCCTCAGTCTTCAATCTCACTTGTCTTGCCTCTTCTCTCTACCGCGACCAAGCCCCTAACTCTGGGAGGCCCTGCGTGAGTGTGAATGTGTGTGCGTGTTTGTGACACAGGGGTGCTTGGGGGCAGCTGTTCCATCCAGGAGTACATGCAGTGAGGCAGCAGGGCCAAGAGGTCCAAGACAGCATCTCCACGCTCAGGGGCCCTCCCCAGGCCCTTTGCACACCTACCACTCCCCTCGGTTGAACCGCTGGCAGAGACTTGAGCTCTACGCTGTGTTCAGCGGCGGTGGGGATGCTGTGGAGCTGTTCCTGCTCATGGAGAGGCGACATTTGAGGGGAGGGCCAGGCATGTTGTTAACACTCACCGAGGCACAGTCTGGTCTCACAGGTGGCTGGCTGACTAGGTACTACTGTTGGCTTGCCAGTACAATTCCCATAAAGTTCCAATTCCTCTTGAAAATCTGGAAATCGCACCATTCCTGGATTTTCCTCTGGCACTGGGGACACATCACTGTTTCTTCAGCTGGGTAGCAGGTTTAAGTTGTGGGCTTGTGTTTAGGGATCATTAAAAATGAGAATCTTGAAGATGCTGACAAACAAACAAAATAAATAAATGAAATGAGAATCTGCCGGGCATGGTGGCATGTGTCTGTAGTCCCAGCTACTCTTCAAGAGTTTGAGGCGGGAGGATGGCTTGAGCCCAGGAGCTCAAGGCTGCAGTGAGCTTTTTTTTTTTTTTTTTTTTTTGAGACAGAGTCTCACTTTGTTGCCCTGGCTAGAGTGAGTGCCGTGGCGTTAGCCTAGCTCACAGCAACCTCAAACTCCTGGGCTCAAGTGATCCTACTGCCTCAGCCTCCCGAGTATCTGGGATTACAGGCATGCACCACCATGCCCGGCTAATTTTTTTCTATATATTTTTAGTTGTCCAATTAATTTCCTTTTATTTTTAGTAGAGACGGATCTCGCTCTTGCTCAGGCTGGTCTCGAACTCCTGAGCTCAAACAATCCACCCGCCTCGGCCTCCCAGAGTGCTAGGATTACAGGCGTGAGCCTGCAGTGAGCTTTGATTGTGCCTGTGAATAGCCACAGCACTCCAGCCTGGGCAACAGAGTAAGACCCTGCATCTAGAACAAAAACAAGAACCCTGCTCAGTGGGGTGAGGAGCTCTAGCTAGGAGAGACTTGCAGGGTGGACATGCAGGTCACAGCTCTGTTTCACTGGTGTTTCAGACACTGCCCATGTCCTGCCCACTTGATATTCTGTAGGTGACTAGAAGCATCTGCAGCCCTTTGCTACGGGGTCAGCCAAGTGGAAGTACTGGGAGTTTGCGCTACAGCGAGCAGCCTCAATCAAGTTTGGGTGGGAGCTGGTGGAAAAATACCTTTTCTTCCTTGCCCCTCAGGCAGGCCCCCTGCCAGGTGGTTTTGCACCTGCGGGAGGTCCCCAGCTGGTTGTGCCCCTGCTGCCCACAGGGGATCTGTTCATGAACACTGCCTCTTCTGACTCATTTGTGCCCTGTCTCACTTCTCTAGTCTCCTGCTGGCACTTTCCGTAGTTGCCTCCCAAATAAACTACTCCTGCTGGAATCCCTAACTTAGATTTGTGTCCGGGCCAACCTAAATGGAGACACAGACACCCTTCTCTGAGACAAACAGGGGGCAGAATCTCACAGAGCATTTACTTTGTTATCTGGCATGCTTGCCTCTTCTTGGGGAGCAGATGTGGCTGATTTCAGGCAGGTTAGAGGAACCTAAGATGCTTCTCATTCTATATTGTCACATTCGTTCTATTGAGGAAACCCAGGGGGATATGTGGAATCAATTGTTAAATTTTCAGGAATTTTTTAAGCTGGATGTTAAACTCTCAGTAGTTTGAAATTGGCCATGCTGGGAGGGAGTATTTATACCATGGAAATCTGCAAATGCTACAAGGCAGCCCCCCCTGCCCTTCAAGCTGGCCACTGCCCAGATGGAGAGAGGGACCACTCACAAGGATAATATGGGTCTGTGCTGATTGCTTCTGTTTCCAGTTTCCTCCCACGATTACCCATCCTGCTACCATGGCAATGTTCCTATTCCCCCAGCCCAGCCTTGCCCTTTGATATGTCACATGGGCACCGGCCAGATATCCCTTGCCATACACCAGGCCGTCAACACACATACCTGACCACTGATACCAGAAAGAGATGGCTGCTTACATCTTTTCCATCTCAACCCTTGATTACAAAGCTGAGTCCCTGGCAGGGAGGTCTGCAGGCCTTGTCAGTGCCCTCTAAAGTGATTGACTAGCAAGAGTGCCTGCTGTTTGACTATTAGACTGGGGAGAGAACACATATTAGACCCTTTCACGAATGGCACTTGAGCATCAGGCATGGCACTCTTGGCTTCTCTATTCTTCTTGCCACCCAGAGTGAAGCTCTGCATGGTGAGTTCCACGGACAAGTGACACCCGCAGTGTGATACGAATGCAAAGGAGTGAAACTTAGCCCAGCATGGGGAAAGGAAGGTGCTCCAGGGAGAGAAAACAGCCTGAGCAAAGGCACAGTGACAGGCGTGGCATGGTGGGGGTGAGGAGTGACACTGTTTAGTCAATATCATGCAAGGGGTGTGGAAGGGGGCAGGGCGGGGTGGGAGTGGAGGGAAGGACAGGCCCAGGTGCTGAAGAGCAAGAGGGAGCAAGCAGTGGTTTTAGCAGGGGGAGATTGGATCCTGTGTCCATCTGAGCCAGATTACCTGGCTTCAAAGTGTGTATGTGTGTAAAATGGGAGGGAGACCAGCAAGGACAGGTCCCCCCCCAGGGCAGTGGCCAAAAGGAGAGGGGGAAGACAGAAGAGAGGGAGGCTGACGGTGTGGGGCTGACTGGGACCTGGGACGAAGTCCTTGTAGAGAGGAAGAGGCAGGTTGATTTCCTGATGGGCTGGATGTTGGCAGCGCTTCCTGAGAGAATGGTTATGGGCTGGGCAGTTTCCTGGTGTGGGTAAGAGACAAAGGTGGGGGAAGATGACAAGTTCAGTTTGAACATATCAGCTCTGAAGTGCCAGTGGGATGTGGACCCTGGCAGGGCATGGGGAGAAGGGCTACTGTAGTAGATGCTGTTAGTGTCCCACCCCAGTTCCCTCTGGGCTGCTGCACCCATGCCACCCAGCTGTTTCTCACAGCAGCCCCCTTCACAGCTTCCTTCGCAGCCTCCCCAGGAGGCGCCCGGGAGGTCATGCTCTTTCTGCCCGCAGCCTGCGGACACTGACTGACTGAGGTGGGATAAAAGCCCAGCCCGTTGCCTAAGGTCAGGACTAAAGAAATGATGCAATTCATGTGGGGTGTATGTGGTTGTGTGTGGAGTGTATGTGACTGTGTGTGAGTATGGGTTGTGTGTGTGTGGGATTACATATGTGGACTGTGGGTGTGGATCTGTGGGTGTAATGGGCATGTGTCAGGGTGTGTCTGGGCATGTGTGTGTTCGGAAGTGCGCGTGGGGGGTGTATTTCTAAAGTGTGGTGGGTGTGTGCTGGGGTATGGCTGTGTGTGTATGTGAGTTGGAAGTGTGTGTATGGGAAGTGTGTACAGTATGTGTATGTGTGTGTAAGTGAGGGTGTGTGGCCAGGGTGTGCGTGTGGGGTATGTGGCTGGGCGCGTGAGTATGTAGGTAAGTTTGTGAGTACAGAATGTCCCGTGTGGTGTGCAGGTTTATATGCGAGTGTAAGGGTGTATATGTGTCAGGGTGGGTAGTTCGTTGTCATCATACTTGTGTGGGTGTTTATGGCAGTGTGTTTGTGTGTAATTTATATAAATAAAATTTTTACACATTCCCTTTTATTCTCTAAAAATTATATTTATACTCATTAAAATACAGTTTAACCAGCATGAACAGAAATAGTGTTTTACTGACTCATTATTCCCAAGGGAAGGGGCAACTGCAGCATGGTCTTAGGAGCAAGAATTTTTTTTTTTTTTAACTGATAGAATTGCAAAGAGAAAGGAGCAGGAATTTAATTGAACAGAAGACCAGAGGGAACTTACAAATAACAGGAATGTAATGTTTATCCAGTTACTGAATGTTGTACCTTTTATTTATTTATTTTTTTTGAGACCAGAGTCTCGCTTTGTTGCCCTGGCTAGAGTGAGTGCCGTGGCGTCAGCCTAGCTCACAGCAACCTCACACTCCTGGGCTCAAG